CCCCCCCCCCCCCCCCCCCCCCCCCCATATCTCCAGACGTGGGGAATGAGGGAGCTTGTCTTTCTGTGATTGGATATTAGTTTTCTTTAAAAGTAATATAGAAAGAGTTAATGATAATTTAATCAACCAAAGAAGAATTGTGAAAGGTCAGTAATAGTAATGGTGGAAAATTCAAGGTGACGGAGGAAGGAGAAGAAAGAGGGTCCACTGAAGTTTACTGGAGGATATAATACTGAAGGGTCCATTCAATCTGAGAGTGTTCTGGTTGTCATTCTGTACCCCAAATCATAATAGTAGAAAGTGAAACATGCTTCTAAGAAACGAGAAATATTTCAAACACACACGTAAAGAAGATCACAATGAGAGAATGGAATAGAAGCAAGATAGAGCTTCTATTGTGTTCTTGGGAGTTTAATAGATATATAACAAAACAAAGTAGAAATGAGAAGAAAGTAGTTGGATTTCCTTCATTAACTTGCAAATAAGAAGTAAATTTTTTTAAATCCCTCTTCACATCACCTGTTAAACAGAATAGAGGATAAGAGATACAATATAAACCTTTAGATCTCTAGAGGACATGTAGTTTCAATCAAAACCTTTATTGAACATTACTGTAGGATAAAAGACTGGAGGTAATTCTATCCCGCACAAATGTGTACACAAAGATTAATAACATGAAAATGAGGGAGTAATGCTTTTCTATCAAGATTCTTTAGGGGAGGAGCCAAAGAACATGAAATAAAGAATTAGAAAATATAACAAACTATTTACAAGTCGTAAACCTACGAAAAGAGCAGGAAAACTCCTTTTTATCTGTGTTCTTTCTTTCTATTCAAACAAACATAACGGTGCGGAAAATGAGTGTTTTTTTCTCTCTATTTTTCATTTTCTGATTTTGCATCTAGTATTCCAAGTTCACTTGATTGACTAATTAACATTAGCATCAAGTTGGCTTATTAAGGTGGTAAAGGCTCCATCCCAGAAACTTCTCTAAGAACTGTCCTCAGACCTTTGCTTAAAGGTTACACAATTCCAACCTCCAAGGTCTTGTCGATTTTCTTGTTAACTCAATGCAGCAAATCCACCACTTTTCATCATCTGCTTAAACTCTATAAAATTCACCATTCCATCTCCATCAGCATCCACTTTCTTAATCATCCGCTTGCAGTCATCAACGGTCCGCCCTTGCTTGAGACCAAGCGATGCCAAGACAGATTTTAATTCATCCACGGTAATGTAGCCGTCCCCATTTTGGTCGAACACATTGAAGGCCTCTCTAATATCTTCCTCCTCATCTCGCTCTTCCATTATGGTCTCATATAGAGCACCAAATTCATCAATATCGATGTATCCATCGCCATTCACGTCAATCTTGTTGATCATCTGCACCAGATCTGAATCAGTCATGAAGATCCCCATGTTCTCTAACGAGTCATTCAGCTCCTTTTTCGTGATCCTTCCATCACCATTCCTGTCGAACATATGAAAGACACGCTTGAGCTCATCTGTCTCCATTATTCTGTGGTTAAACAACGATACAGTTATTGATTTTCATGCCACTGATTGTAATTTTTGGGAGAAGATTAGATGGCCTGAACTTTTTGGACACAAAGGAGAGAAGAATTGTGTCAAAGAGGTGTCTTAGACAGAAAATTCTCAACAAAATGGTTGGCAGTGGCATTCTGTTGAGTGTGCAACACTTATTATTGTGTGGTGATTTTGGCTTCTTGGTTGAGAAAATTTTGGAGAGGAGCTTGGGAAAGTTTTATATTTATTAGTATTATAATAATATTCATTCTGTTTTTTTTCCCTTGACCCACCTTTTGACAGATGTCGTCTTCCGGGTTGATTTGAGCAATCAATCAGAGAAAATGATCAAAATGGTCCTTGATGTATTGGGGTTGCTTTATTTTGATCCTTAATATATTCTAAGTGATTGAAATAGTCCTTAATGTATGACAAAATGTGTTCAATTTAGTCTTTTACCCTAAACTTAACAATTTACCCCCAAAAACTGTTAAATATAACTGTGGGGCCCACATAACTTACAAAATCCACCATTTTTGCCATCTTTATTAGCTCAAAGAAAGAGTTTCATGAATTCTAAAACACCATTTTCTCTAACATCTAACCACACAATTACAAAATAATTATTATAAAAAGGTTGAATGAAATGGATCGTCAAGAATTTGAGCTAATAAAGATGGTAAGAATGGTGGATTTTGTAAGTTATGTGGGTTCCACAGTTAGATTTAACAGTTTTTGGGGGTAAATTGTTAAGTTTTAGGGTAAAAGACTAAATTGAACACATTTTGTCATACATGAAGGACTATTTCAATCACCTAGAATATATTAAGGACCAAAATGAAGCAACCCAATACATCAAGGACCATTTTGATCATTTTCTCCAATCAATCACAATTGAGATAAATATGTTTTTGACTTGTTCTGTATAAATATAAGACCAGTAAAACCTATTTGTTCCTTTGGATTACATGTGAATGAAGGAAACTTGCATTCAGAAAATAGATTGACTTAGAGAAACAAATTTGAAGAATTCTTGATTTTTCTCAAGTATGGCCATGTCTTCCTCTACCAACCCAAGCCATACTTCTATTCCCTTCCCATCACTAGTGTCCATTAAAACAACCAAATTGGGAGCTATGCTTCCAACAGATGCCCATTTTGGCCTACCCCATCCAAAATCAATGTCATAGAAAGGAAACTTACAAAAACTAGTGGAGCCAAGTATTCTCTCTTCTTTATTCAATGTTCTTACTCTATCATCCATATTTTTTACATCATAGCCATGTTTAGTCACATTCTTTATTGAATCTTGAATTTTTTTCACTAGTAACTTATAGTCTAAAGGTCCCTCAGAAACTTCCCAATTTGCCTCAACCATATGTATGATATTTCCCATGGTTTGTTGAGGTAATGGAGGTTGAATTCTTCTCCTCAAGTCTATTGGAATTCGAATTACATAATTCTTGATACCATTGTTATTGCTCCTTTTCTGCATAGCTGCAATAACTGATTCCCATACAAAGGCTAGCACAGCCTCTACTTGAGAAGTTGAACGTTCTGCTTTCGTGTTCAGAGCCAAAATATTGGACTCATCGAACACGAATCTTCTTGCTGCCATTTTTGGTTGAAGTTGATCTTTTCCCCCAAATTGAAACACAGAAAAACTATGGACCTTTTTTGGTGGAAAGATGGAAGTACAATCCATGAACAATTTGTCTGAAATAGTAATGTTGTCATTTTCTGCGCGACTCTGACTAATGCTTGCCCAGGTTTTGAGAAAAGTGGCGATGGATGAACCATCAGTTATAAGGTGACTAATACAAACACCTATAGCAATTCCACCACAAGCAAAACAGTTTATCTGTAGTGCCAACAAGACATTGTCATCTGATCTTGTTAATGGATTCATTGGGAGTAATTTTCTCAGGACTTGAATTTTCAGGTTCATAAGCACATTTGACATGTCTTCATGAACGTTGGCACGCGTTAAATCGACACCTTGGTCGTTGCATTCAACTGTGATTCCATCTTTAACTCTTCCTGCAAGCGGGTTCAGGTAACTTAAGGTTTTCGAGAGGGATACCTTAAGAGAATCTATAACATTTTCCAAATCACTACTTGAGTTCTTGTTGTAGAAGAGAACAAATGTAGTGTAACAATTTGGAGCCTTCTGATCTAAAAGAGAAAGCTTGTGGCTTTTATGACTCTTTGAACTTGGAGAAAATGGTTTGATTGTTTCTTTAGAGATAATCTCAACTTTGATATCCATTTCCCCTCAATGAGAATATGTTGATTTAGTTTGTACAAATTTTGTGCATATAAGCAGATCAGAGTGAGAATAACAGATTCCCAAAAGTGCCAAAAGGGAAAAAAGACAATAAGGCCGGCAAAATCATCAAGTAGTGTGGTGAGATGAATGAGATCTCGTGGTCTAATTCTGGAAAAGGTCAATCCTAGTAGGGAGATTTTTCGCAGAATTTGAATTAGTCAAATCAGTAGGCTCGGAATGATGGATGATTGAACCAAATAAAAAATTTATTTGTGGCAGAGCGGATTATCCAAGGGAGTAATGAAAGTGATATTCAGCTGCATATAACCAGAGATTAGAGGACAAGACGTATATATAAGGATTTTAAACGAATCAATTTATATTATTATTTGGAGCTTTTCACTAGCTAATTAAATTGAAATGTGTCAAAAGAAGTCTTGAAGGGAAAATTATACTACTTTTTTTTTGAAAAAAATTCAAGTTGGAGTAAAATTAGTATAAGAGTGCAAATTCGATTATTTGCCTTGCGTTTCTATTCATATAATTATCTCAATCAAATCCATGAAAAACAACGTAATTAATTGTAGTAATTATTTTATATTTATAGATATAGCATATGTTTGTTTTTATTTTATATATTTATAAACATGATAAAGATATAGAATTTTGGGGCCTCTTTCAACATTAAGAATTTATCAAAACTAGAATGATTTTTTTCTAAAAAGAAGTTTATATGGATTAAATAAAAAATAATTTGAAATCACATGTCACTTTATTTTTTAATTTAATTTGAAAGGCTTAAAAAAAAACATACGACAGGAAATAAAGTTGACAAATGATAATAATGCAGGACGGATTCATGTGGTATGAGGTAGAGTGGGGCGAAAATAGTAATTGTACTATGTCAATATTATAATGATTCATGTCTTGTTTCACTTGTGTGCAATTATACATTTTCAGTGCATTAATTTCGTGCTAAAAATAAAACATATTGGAATTAGTGATTATCAAACATACAATACCAATTTTGTCTTTTTTCATATTAAATTGCTTTAAACATTTTCATATGTAGCCGAAAGAGACCTTTTTTTTATTGTGAAAAATCAAAATAGTATTACTCCCTCCGTTCTTATTTATATTCACCAAATCAATTTTTACTTTATCATTTATTTTCACCAAATTTAAAGTAATAATAAATTTTATGTTGGTGAGAATAATAAATTTTATATACATGTGATATAAATGGTTAGTAGATATAAATGTGGGGTTGTTTTAATAAAATATAAACTTGTGGGTCAATTTTTGTATTTAAAAATCCCAAATCGTGATATGAAATTCCCATATCATGATTTTTGAAGAATATGGAATCTCATCTCATGATATGAAATTATGAAATGGAATCAGTGTGAAATTGCATGTCCAAACATTGATTTCATCTCATGATATGGTATCACATGGCCAAACGCCTATTAAAAAAAGAATTTGAAATCACGTGTCATTTTATTTTTTAATTTAATTTGAAAGGCTTCAAAAAAAAAAAACATATGAAAGGAAATAACATTGACAAATGATAAATGGGGTGGAGCCGGGCAAAAATAATAATTGTACTATGTGAAGTAAGGTGGGATAGAATAAGTTGAAGTCTTTGCGAGTTTACGTGAATTTATCCTTCAATTGTTCCACTCTATTTGTAATCCCTAATAATATCCCTTGTCTATGATAAGCTTATTATTACAAGAATCAAATTAGTTTAGTTAGTGAATTCTGAGCATTAGATAAATCTCTCTTCAACTCCCTCTGAGATTTGAACTATCAACTAATTTTTTTAATTGCGAATCATCAAAAGAACGAATATGTACTTCAGAGAGGAAGTGATAGAATATGTACTTCAGAGAGGAACGAATATATTAATTTTTTTTATATAAATTATAACATAATAGATGACGTTGTTTTTGTTGGCTCTCATATTTGACTTCTCGATTGACTGTGTACATAAATCAAAGATAGTTATCTGATTGTCCATAGTTAACTGAGAAATGTTTTCTTTTTTTTTAGCGAAAAAATAAAAACCAAAATTAAAGAATATATTCTATCTATGAAATCATATAAATAATCACATGTTTTTCTTACACCCAACAAAGATATAGTTCATATACTTGTAAAAAAAATTCAATTTATTCAAACAAGCATGATTCGTCCAAGGAAAAATAACAACACCGTGTTATCACATATATAGGGGCGGTATAATAATATGAAAAATTATTGATCAAAAGTTAATATAAGGAAAAATGAAAGATAGAAATAATTAATGTAATAACTATGAGAATTCATAATATTACAACAGTATAAAAGAGTGTAAAAAATATTTGCAATAATTTCTAATAACTAAGAGAATTTATAATGTTATAACTAAAGAATTAATGTGCAATAGATAAATTTCTAATAAATTTTATACTTACATAAATAAGTAGGACTTTTAATTAATGTTACTATTTTTTTTTATAATTATTAGATTTTAATTTAGTGTAGGGACAAAATGAAAATGTTTATTATATATTACTAAATATAAAATTTATTTTGTTAATGATAAATTTTAAATGATTTATATATATTCACATATTTTCACATTTGTTGTGTGTACACGTGCAATAATGAAAATATATATCTTATATAAAGTATCTATAAATAAATAATAAAAATTAAACTAATAAAGACTTTAATTGGCGTTATTAGAAGTCATATGAATTTTTCTTCGTCGAAAATACTGAAATATTAAGAAATAGTAAATGAGTAAAACAAAAGGGCAGTGTTTACATAGTAATAACTATTTTGAAGCAAACTTCCTGACAATCTAAATCACATAAGTAGCATTGATAAATAAAGTCATTCTTTTGTCTTGAGCATCAAAAAAACAAATCATGACGATTCTCTAACTCTTGAGAAATTTAATAATTTTGAGAAAAGATATTTAGAAACATATATCTACATCACAAGAGAAATTGTTAACAAAAATAAATGAATTTATACTATAATAAAAATTAAACTAATACAAACTTCAATTGACGTTATTACAAGTCATATGAATTTTTCTTTGTCGAAAATACTGAAATATTAA